TAAAAAAAAGAAAAGAAAAGAAAAGAAAAGAAAAGAAAAGAAAAAAAAAAACATGGGTAACATAATAAAGCGAAGCGTTCCCCGGTGGACTTCATCAAAGATTCAACCGGTTGCACAAAGGGAGCCACTGGACGAGTCCAGAAAATTTTCAACCCGGCGTTCACTCGGCCGAGCGTTCATGAAATGAAAATTGGCCGGGCGAAACACGGGAAAATTCCGCGAGTCGGCCGACAACACACTTCGAATAGAATTTTCCAAAATTATATCATTATCCCCGCCCCTTTCGGCTAGGCGAAGCCACGTATAAAATTAACGAGGATATTTTCCGCGTTAGAGGGCACGAGGGTACGTTTCGAAAACGTGTTTCTAAAAACACTGCGATTCGCTCATTCGTTCATTCGCCGATAAAATTACAAATATAGCTTCTACCATTTCGAAAGTCCCACAAATTTATCGAACAAAAAGAATTGTGAGAATTCCTCCAAAAATATTCCTCTAACGTTGCTTAATAATAAATATTCTTTTCTTTTTATTTCCCTTTATCAAAATACGACTCTTCTCGAGCTAGGATGCTCGAAATGATTCCTTCGAAACCATTTTACACGCCATATAAAAATACACAATAACGATAAAACGAGAGATCGATGGAGTGTCTCGGCAGCCATTTTGGTCCCCTGAAACGCGGCAACCGGACTCGACTCGACTTTAACGCGCGACGCATGGACCGCTGGTAAAACTACCACCGGCGAACGTGCCGAAAGGAAACACACGTCGAGAAGGATGGCTTTTCCTCTTTTTCACGACGCGCGTTAACAGATAGCATAAAGATTACTAATGGAATCCGTACGAGCGTGTAAAAGTTGTTCGCTATCTATCTGCCGACCAACTCGCTCGCCAACCGTTCCTGGAAGCCCTGCATCGAAGAGAGAGAGAGAGAGAGAGAGGAGGCAAACGCATTAGCGAGTTTGCACGTATACGTTGCCCGTGTCGGATATACACGCGTTTCAGCCGGATAGGAAGCGGGTGATCGGAGAATGCCCACGGGAGTCGTTTCGAGAGTCTCTTCGCCACGGTCCTTTTACATTCTTATTCCACGTGTCTATCTCTTACTCTCCGTTGTTCTCCGTTGTACGCCTCCATTCGTCTGGAACGTTTTACGCGCCCTGCTATACGTTTACATACGTTCGAAACGTGTGCAAATGGCGGACGTGAGGCGAGGCGGCGGCCACAGGGGTACGCTTCCCGTTCGCGCAACACGACTCTTGAAAATTTTACTCTTGGTTTCCGGGAAAGGAGGAGATACGTGGCTCCTTCCTCTTTCCTCGAGAAGGAAGAGGAACAACTTCGATGGCACCGCTGGAGAAATAAAGTTGTGTAAGTGTATGTGTGTGTTTGTGTGTGTGAGTGTACAGAGGTCCGTTCGAATTCCGCGTCTGCGACGTTTTAATAAATTAGGAAACCTTCGGCCGCCTCTCTCTCCCCGGATAGCCGAACCGGGAATCGTTTATGGCGCGCTTTCGAAATGAATTCGTTATTTTCCGTATCTCCTCCCTCCGCTTGCGACCTTTTCGACCAATCGCGCGAACCAGGTGAATTTTACATAGGACGGTTTGTCCGTAGTGTCGTCAATTTTTCAACAACTCCCAACTTTTACCCTACTGGGATGGGGAGGATTCTGGAGACGCGGCTTGCGAGGCCAGGTATCGAGAAACGAGGGATGAGAAGGAAGAGGAAGAAAGGAGGAGATTACTTTTAATACACGTTGCTTTTGAGTAATTACCTCGGTGAGAGAGGCAATTAAGACACTTGTTCACCTATGTGTTAATTTAATCGTGTTCGTTCTTTCGTTGCTTTCGAGTCGGTTCTCGAAGAGTTTTCGAATCTTTAAATAAATTTTAATCCGGTATTATTGTTCGGGGATGAATGTCTATTGTTATCATTTAGGAATAGAGTTGGGGGTTGAAGAAGTAACTGATTAAACATTTCGAATAATAATGAATAATATTTACTCGCTATTGTAATTGATCTGCTTTTTATATTACGAACGATGAATTGTTGAAGTTTATCCGCAACTTCGATTATTAAATTTTGCTTGTCGGTGTTTAGGGGTGAAAGGATTTCGAAGAAAATTTGTAGAAATTCGTTACTTAGAATTTTGATAGAGATTGTCAGTTCGGAATCGGCAAGTTTTGAGGAACAGATTGAATTTGCTTTTACGTATCTAGCAGAACTCGTACTTTGAAGATCTGTTTGAAACTCAAATTTATTATGTATAACACACGTGCTTTTAGTCGAGCTTGAAACATTCAAGTAGTTTGACATTCCGCCACGGTTAAATCGTTTTCTATTTTTTTTTACGGAATATCGAATAACGATTCTTTCACTGTGATGACAATAAATTGTTCGACAGAGTCAGAATAAGTTAAATTCGTAAAATTAGGATTAATTAAGATACATCTCTAATAATCAATTACCTTTAAAACATTTTTTGGATCTTTTTACTAACACATTTTCCTCTTTTCGATAATTACAATTTTAAAATTTGTCCAATTATCAATGACGAATATATAGAAAAATATAGTTAAATTAGTATTTTTCAAATCGAATTAATTTAAATTTAACAATCCACGTTTCATCTCCTCTCACAATTAACGATCAAGTGGTTCGAATTAGTACGTGACAAAATGATCTAATCGTCCGTGAAGTTGGAAAATTCCACAATTTTCTTCGATAAAAACGGAGAAACTTGGTCGTACGGCTCTTTAAATACCCTACTGCCCTTTCTTCCCTCCGATCGATTTCTTCTCTATCGTTCAAACATGACGTGACCATTGTTGTGGCTCGATGGTTATAGCCCGGTCTTTTCTTCTCTCCCTTTAATTAAGTCGCTGTCCAAGGATAGTTCGAAAATGAAAAAGGCTCACTATGATCGACCAAATGAAGTTCATTACATCTATGTTCATCAAACATTGGAGTGGAAATCTTCTAAGACGATTCTTCGACTTTTGAATTTGATTTCTTCTTCAATTTGATTCTTCCTTTTGATCGATTAGAATCAAGTAGAATGCTAATGAAATCGATTTTAGAGAAAGTTAACAATCCAGTAAAATATATATCCTCCTAGTTAAACTTAAAAACTTAATTAATTTTCTTAATTCCTTTTTCTCAAAACCATAAACTCGACCCATTTTCTTTTATTAAAGTATACACATTTACGTCCACGTTATTCGCGCAATCTGAACGATCCCATCCAATTCCAAAAACCAATAATACGTCCTCTATAAATTCGAATATTGAAATAGCATCCGCCTAATGTCGAATATTTCCTTCGAAGAAAGCAAACCGAATGGAGCAAAAGTGGCGTTTGATCGTGGAAGGGGGAATGGGATAATAAACGGAGAAGGAGGAAAGAGGGGAAGGAGGCGCGCGCGTTTCAAAAAACACGCGAATACGTAACCGGCGAATCTTTAATCGCGATTTCGATCTTAGACAATATGAGTTCCGATATCGAATTCGAGCGATTCCTTCTTAAACATACAACACGCTCGAGATTTCAATAAAACGGTACGAAAGAAGGAGACGGCGAGCGAGAGAGAGAGAGAGAGAGAGAGAGAGAGAGAGACAGAGAAGCATAGGAGCCAGACGACTATTTTCAAGAAAGTTGAATAGAAAGGAAGAGAGAGAGAGAGAGAGAGAGAGAGAACGAGAAGCCAAGCTCCTTTGTAGCGGACCGTGTGTACCCCGTTATGGAATTCCTTCCTCTTTTGATATCATATTGCATTCATCTCGTCACGATAAGCCTCGAATAAGAGGTAGCATAAAAAGTGGCTCAACGTAAGCCGGATAGAAGTGACAGAACGCGGGGCCAGAAAACACGGCTTTTCTCTCCTTTTCTTCGCCCACATATATATATATATGTATATATATATATCCATCCAACCGGGTTCCCCAACGTGGAAAAAAGAGGTTTCCAACGTGTACTTGTCAAATAGAGATAAGCTTTCATAGTAAGAAGCAAATATACCGGCCTAATAAGCCTTCTCACAATTCGAAAACGAACCGGCGCGAGGAAGCTAGGAGGCGCTCGTGTGCCTCGTCCAATGTAAATACGTCTAACTTTCAGAGATATCCTCGATTACACCGTATGATATTCGATACTATACGTAAAAGTTCTTTTTTTTTTTTTTTAATCCTCTTT